CCGGAGGGGGTGGCCAAGCCTGGAAGGGGCTGCCCAGGGAAGGGGTCGAGTCCCCCTGGGGGCAGACGAGGTGCTTAGGGCCAGGGTTTAGTGGTGGGATGGCAGGGTTAGGGGAACTGTTGGACTCGATGATCTTAAAGGGCTTTCCCAACCTAAACGATTCTATGATTCTATGATCATTCGTTCTTTTGAAGCGGGACGTGTTAAGACTCATCAAAAAGAGAAGAACATTTTTCTCGCTGTCCTGACATAGTCACACTGCTTGTTTCCAGCCCTGCATTCAGTGTGGCACAAGAAAATCCATTTAAAAATCTTTTTGTCTAAAACCAAGAGAAGGAAAAAAAATATTAGAAAGGAAAAGGGAAGTAATGGCATTTGCATGATTCCAACAGGCAAGAACAAGGAAAGTGCCTGCAGAGCAAGCTCCAACCCGGACTTAATTTCAAAACTGGATTCAAACCAGCACTTGGGCTCCCATGCAAAGTTCGTGGAGGGCCTTCTGGCTAACTCCTCCCCATAATTTATTCTGATGATGAAACCTATAACTTCGTTGTATTCCTTTCCTCACTGTCTTTCTGCTCCAGCAGGAGTTCCCCTGCCCCTAAAGCAACCAGAAGAACCCTGCCCTTTGTGGGATTTTCTTGAGCATCTTTTAATTTATCACGCTAACAGAGCAAATGAAACAACCACAGCATCACATACGTAATACAAGCATCGTTCTATAATTTTTACTCTTGATTTTACCAAAGCAAAATAGCAGAGTGAAATATTGGGAGGTGAGTTTGTAGTTGTGCACTTTACCTTTCTGGAATCTACTGCTGCGTACATGATGTCCATCCAGCCCTTGAAAGTAGCCTAGCAAAGAAAACACGTGTTCCCTTAGGCAGAATTCACCCAAAGTAAAAGGACAAGTCTGATTTGTGCCAGCTACGTCAAGGATCCGAGGGCTGGAGCCCCTCTGCTGCGGGGCCGGGCTGGGAGAGTTGGGGGTGTTCAGCCTGGGGAAGAGGGGGCTGCGGGGGGACCTGAGTGCGGCCGCTCAGGGCTTCAAGGGGGCCCCCAGGGAAGACGGGGACAATCTTTTGAGCAGGGCCGGCTGGGACAGGACACGGGGGGATGGTTTGAAACTGAGCCAGGGGAGGTTTAGGCTGGATCTAAGGAAGAAATTCTTTAGCGGGAGGGTGGTGAAACCCTGGCAGGGGTTGCCCAGAGAGGGGGTGGAGGCCCCATCCCTGGGAACATCCCAGGCCAGGTTGGACGGGGCTTTGGGCAAGCTGATCTGGCTGGGGACGGCCTTGCTAATGGTAGGAGCGGTGGGCTGGGTGACCTTTGAAGGTCCCGTCCAACCCAAACTATTCTATGATAAATTAATCTAAACAGGTTTAGTGCTGTCTCATGGAAGGTTTGGTAGACTCTTTGAAGAGTAGAGTTGGGGTGGCCACTTGCTGTGCTGGGAGACCCATACTAGGCGAAAGGATGGAAGATATAACAGCAATTTTATGCCAGACCTAAAGCCCAGTGGCATTAACGGGGTGCTGTATCTCACGGCGAGAGGGAAGCAGACAAAAGCAGCTTGTATTCACCGCTACTAGGGGGAGGGTGAAAGCAGAACTTACAACTTGTAGAAGAGCCAGATATCCTGCCCCAACGTTGTCAAAGTTAATTTTCACATTCTTCCATCGAATCTCAGTGGAGTTGGGTGGCATCAGGGCCTCGCAGTCTGTCTTGTTGTTAACAACTTCTATTTCAAAGCGCTCCTCAGCTGTTTCATTAAAGCAGTAATGATATTTCCCGGCAAACAGGTTAACCCCCATAATGCTGAAAATCAGCCAGAAGATAAGGCAGACCAACAACACATTCATAATGGAAGGGATAGCGCCAACCAAGGCGTTGACAACCACCTGTGTTGGAAGGGGTGGGAAAAAGTTTCAGTATAAAACACAAGGCAGGAAACAGCAAGCATCAATACAGCTGTTTTTGGGGGGGGAATAGGGGGTAAGGCCACTGACAGATCGGTGGCGGTTACTCCACGCAGAAGTCGGCAGTGAACTTATTCCAAGCGGTAAAAAAATTCTGCTGAAAAGCCACCTACTGAAGCTCTGTTTTTTAAAACAAAACAGGCCAGGTTGTTAGATTTACTGGGCTTGATTTTGGATCGTTACTTCTTTTTAATTATTTTCAATCATTTTAGTTGCCGAAAGGGAGAGGGGGGGGCGTTACTGAGCGAGGCTCAGACTCTCTGCTTCGTAACAAACCGGCTCCTAGCTAAAATTTTCTCAGAGCCAAGTCTGAGGACACTTTTGCTCCCGGATTGGATGGGTCTTAGCAGCCAGTGGCCCCTACGGCCATTCCCCACTTTCAAACAAGGCTGTTATCACTTCAAAGCCTGCCTCCTGCTCCCACCGGCGTCGCCAGCAAACTGCGGGGCGCTGACTCCGGTGGGGACAGGACCAAGCCCGGCATTGCTCTGGTAAGACTAAGCAGTGAGTCGCTGTGAACATCGAGATCATATTTGTGACTAAGCAAGGCCAATCAATGTTGTCTCAGGCAGACAGCTGAGCATGCAGCTATGCAGGCTCAAGAAGACAGAAAAGCCATGTTCCTTCCTCCAAACCGCAGCAAACCCGGCGGGAAGCGATAAGGGGTTTTGGCAGAGCTCGTATCTTCCACCATCTCCTAATTTTAGCCTCTCGGAGTTTGGGAGCACCATGTCCCTAAGCACCCCTGGCCAACACATGACAAAATGTAAGCTACCCGGCTTTTAATAGAGTTAGGTCAGCGGGATATTAAATCTTTTATTATGCTCTCCTAATTTGGGCTCCTTTAATAGATGAACAGAATCTAAACTGTTTTTACCCCTTTGCCTTAGTTTTGAAAGAACACTCAATTACACGGCGATTCGGGAGTCCTCGAGCGGTAGCACCCGAGCCACAACCGCTCCTGGCCACCACCAAAGTGTCCCCTCTCCTCCTCCGACGTCCGTCTGCTGGACGCAGCCACCACACACATGTACGCTCCGCAGCAAGCGTCTGTCCTCCCTCCTAGTAAGCACGAAGGGAAATGGGAGACGACAGCGATCCAGACAGTGAGCGGCGTGGCGATGGCTGCTCAATGACGTCATGAAGGCGCCGCTGTACACCCAGTGAGGTGTAAAGAGCCAGGCCCTGTAGAGGATGCCTTTGCCTTCATCCCAATAGGACGCTCTGCTGCTGAAGGTTGGACTCGATGATCTTAAAGGTCTTTTCCAACCAAAGTGATTCTATGAACACCAACGATTTAAGGGTACCGATAACCCTGCTTTATCCCAGTTCATCACGGGAAGCGAAAACCAGCGCCGCACCCTCCTGAAATACGGTGCGTTCAATTTATACAGCCTTCCGAAACGATGCGAGAGAAGGAACATGGCTTTTGTGTGCAGACTGACAAAAACACATGCACGTCTCATAGCATTACTGTCAAACTCCCTGAATAACTGAAGAGCAGAGCAAGCTCTCGAGAATGCAGATTACTACGGAGTAGAGAAAAGCAAAGAACTACATTTTATGGTTTCCTTTGCAAAGGCATGTCAAATCTCTAGTCTCTGGCTCAGAAGAATTGTTCTCGTCATATGGGGCAGCAACACTCGTCCTTACGGCAAAACACAGGAAAAATAACGGGGTTTCGGTAACTAACAGGGCTGCGGTCGTAACTCTCTATCGGTTTTGCTGTGGTTGAAAATCCCCCACTTGAAGCACGAGAATTTCCTGACTGCACATTAAGACATCACAGCTTCTCTCCCGCACGCCTTAAAAGCAGCTTTTAATATCTACAGGGTTAGCGCTAGGTCTTCTCCCTTCTGCCACGCTTTCAGGTGGGACCTGATCCCAGCCCAGCAAAAAGCTCTGGCTTTGTGTCGATGGACGAGTTTTCATCCTTTGGGCCTGCGTTATAGAATGAAGTTCAGAATTAAGCTAACTGACACAAAGAAATAATAGCAGCATCACCTAGTGGGGAAGAAACAGCCCTCTTGGGCTTTCTTAGGGCATCATTTCTATCGCTTCCTATGGAACTGGGGGGGTTCCTGACCAGCTTGTTGCCTCTCTCGCGCTGTATTTTGTGCTCAGTTCCACTACAGCGAATTCAAAAGCGATCAGAAGGATCCAGGTGGAATTGCTCCAGTCAGAGCCTGAAGGAGAACTGCGACTGCTCTTCCCTTCCTTTTTTTTCTTTTATTTTTTTATTAAATAGATAATTTTATCTCTTGTGATGTGCCTGACTGTGAGCTAACTGGGATTTAGCACAACAGACCTACGTCGTTGTTCTAAGAGCAAGTGGGAAACCCGTTAATACACCCTACTTAACAGGAACACACAAATTTTTTTGCTTGTTCTCCTAAGACTATTTCAATCCCAAAGGGAAGAAAAGCACCAAAACAGGGAATAGGAGTGGCCAAGTACCGAGCCCCTGGGCTGATTTCAACCCCCCCGACGGTGGTGCTGTCTAACAATTTGCTTGTTAAGTTCAATGCTTTGCTTGTGCTTCGTTGCTAGTTCCACAGTGACAGGACAGGGGACCGTAAAGCATGGTAAAAGGGAGGGAGTGGAAAGGAAAAGCTTCACTATCAGACAAGGCTTCCAGTCGCCACCAGACTGGACCGAGAACAACAAGGTGCAACAAGAGGAATTAAACCAAAGCCTTTTTTGCAAACAGCTGAGCTCCCCCGCCAGTCCCTTCCTGAAGGCCTGAGCGATCCCAGAAAGGAAGCAGCCTTTTTCCCCCTTGCAGGCAGATTGCATTTTTAAAAACCCCTCGGATAGAGTCTTTCAATCCAATTCCACCAGCGGCCAACACCTAGAGGGGCTGGAGACACTTGAGCTGGTTCAAATTCTGCTTCTTTGCACCTGGTGATTCTCCCTAGATAAAAAAAGTTACAGCTGAGAAGCCCCCTCGGATGCTAGAGGTAAAAGCCAGGCTAAATGAGAACAGCCAAGTGTTAACATCGTCTACAAATGGCATGTGGGTTGGGCCAGTAATTAATGTAATGAGGCAGCTTAATGCATCTCCCTTTCTTAAGAGGGGAGGGTGCAGCGGTGGGCAGGGTGAGGGGACATCCACGGTAGAGGTGATCGAGTCAGCAGCTGCATCATGATTCTGTTTGGAATTTTCTTTCCACCAGTTTTGATCAGTTCTAGCATGCTTAAAAAAAACCGCTCCACAGGCATGCAGAAGGATCAGCTGCTAATGGCATCTTACCCTCATCCCCTCAAATCGGGACAACGCTCTTAAAGGCCTCAAAGCTCTTAGTGTCCTAAGGGACTTTATGGCACCTAGTTCCGAGTAGCCCAGGGCATTAGCTATAAGGCTGACTAAAGAGACCTACACAGAAAATAGAAAAAAAGAAAAAAAAGAAAAAAAAAAAAAAAGAGAAAAAAAAAAAAAGAAAAAGAAGAAAAAAAGAAAAAAAAGGTTCCAGACTGTTAGAATGAATCCCCTAGCGCTGATTGCCCAGCCCAGGCTGCCAGCCTGGGCGGCCCCCAATATAAATACCGAAGACATGACACCAGCTGCCTACTTCACTTGACTGAAACGACCTGGAAGGAAATAATGCGGTTGAGAAAGGCGTAAGAAAAGAACATAGGGGAGAGATAAGTGAGAGAGAGGCAGAGACACACAGACGGAGAAGGGGTCTGTCGGAAGGAAGAGCCCAAACGATGACAAAAACCTTACCCTCGCCCTTTACTGTCTGCAGGATCCCAGCGGCTCCCATTAAACTGAAGCCAGACAAATTTTAAAGGTACCTATGAGAAAGAATACAGATAAATACACACACTGCACAAACTGCCCTCAACTTGTACAGCAAAGCACCGTGCTCACGCTGAGTGGTGGTGCTTCGTCCGGGGCAACGGCCTTCAGGGGTGGGACGGGTGCCTGAGCTTGCTTCTGCCAAAACAATTCTGAAAAACGTGACCACTGAGCCCAACGCACGGTGCCGAGGCAGCCGAGTCCAACTCCTACTGCCCGAAAACCCACGGACGGGTGTGGTTTTTTTTCTGCCTGTAGGATGGGGGAAGGTGAGGATGGGTAAATCCCTCTTACAGATGGACAGACCGAGGTGCGCAGCGACTGCGCGGTTGCTCGGGCTCATACACCGACACTCGGACACACCTGGGACAGGTTTCTTAGATCCATTTTTCAACACCGTAACCACAAAGACAACCCATTTGCTTTAGCAGCTTGGAATCGGGTTTAGGCTCTACACTTGCGAATTATCGAATATCCTTAAACCAACAACCAGTACCGAGAGCAGCTCAGGGGCCCGCAGGATTAAGCCCTGTATTACCCAAAGCCTGAAAGCGTGGGGCCGTCTACTTTTTGACCCGGGACGTGCACTTAGGGCAGCAGTCCATTTCCCACGCGAGCCAACGGAAAACCCTTGAAGATTAGATCAGACATGACTTGGCCATATGTAAAGAGCATCGACAGACCCCATTTCATCGGCATCCCACTACTTTTGGCCGGTTTCACATTACAGACACAGATAAGAACAGACATGTCAACCTTTTTTTTAAGGAAAAAAAAAAAAAAGACATCAATGTACAGTAACGAAGAATAGAAAAACGTGAGTCCTCCTCCTATAAGAGGTGGGGGTTTTGGCTTAATTCTCAGAATAGGACGCTTCCTATTTATCACTCTTTTGAAAAAGGGGAGATAGTATGGTAATAATATGAAATTAATTTTTATTCTACACATATTCCTGGGAAAATTTCAAGACCAGATTTCAAATGCGGGAAAACGTGGAGATTTCATCTTATTGTACTGTTTGTGCACATGCTTCACGCTTCTCCTGTCCTCATATCTGCCCCAAAATAAGTGGCCGCAACATATGGCAACATGGCTCTTTGGGGGTTTTTCCCATGTGGTTTTCTGATTTCAAAATCAAAACTGATTAAAAACATGCCAGGGGTGTCCCAAAGGTTTACACCAAAGCCTTTGTGGTCGGCCTACTCAGGACAGGACCGAACCCGCAGCAACACCGGGACGTTGAAGTCCTGGTCCCAAATTTCAAAACAGGGATGGGATTTGGAGGTATGGGCTGTAAGGTCCCTATATAGTGTTTTACCCCGTAAATATGACACAGGGTACGGGTTTCACTGAATCCTCACTTTTAGAGCTTCTTCCCCTTGGGATAACGCCTCGCTCCCGAGGAGGAAACTAAGACAACGGCAGTGAAATGTCTAAAGGCTGATTTAGCTTTCATGGGGTCTTTCTCAGTGTTATTCTCTCGGGACACTCCGACAGAAGACACAGCAGGCACCGATGTCAGACAAAAGGAATTCCAGATTGACTGAAAAGCAGAAGCCTTCATTATTACCCAGAAAAAGACTTTGTCTTCACAAATACACCCAGCAAGCTTTGGGAATCAGAGGAGGAGAGTTATTTGACAATGCTATCAAACCTGAAAAATAACATTCAAGAGCGTTGTTATGATGCAAAGGCTTATTCGCTATTAGTTACGGCTGCCACCCTGGCTTCACTCGAACCCCGTTTACGTCACATTAGAAAATTGGAAAAAAAAATTAAAAATAACGCGATTTAACAAGGTACAGGACATAACGCATAGCTGAGATTCTGTCGAGTAATATTTTGGCAGCTGGAATTCACATTTCGGATTTTTTGCAGGCAAAAATGCGCAACTCTCCTGCCTATGACACCAGGTGACGAGAGAAATTTCTCCTAAAGCACCGTGAATTCAGGTGCCTGGTACACGTGCCCTTGTTCGCTCCCTGACTGGGAAGATCCTCGCCTTTACTCCGCCAGCAGGCAGATACTTGGGAAGCAAAGGGAACCCGTAACGCATCCATCAAACTGTACTTGGCTTCTTCCCAACAGCTGGAATTCAGCTGACAACACGAAGCATACGGACGGCGAATGCTATTTTGGTGCTCAGCTGCTGGTCGTCTTTTTAATATTGCGGACCCGCTCTCCTCAAGAGCCGAGAGCGTCTCCCGGTAGTCCCCACGTTAGCACTCGTCCTTCATCGCAGGGCAGCGAAAGGGACACCGGGTTGCTTGCGGAGAAGAGGAGTGACTACTTCAAGACGTGTGTTAAAAGGAAAGGTGTGAAGAGGAGCAGAGAGGGCTCGTTTAAAAAAATAAATAAATAAATAAATAAATAAATATTTCAAAATTCAGTTTTCCACAGGAAACGTAGACATCTTGAGTCACTCCTGCCCCTGGATTCCAAGCATAGCTCCTCCACCTACTCAGAAATATTTGCAGAGTGATAATGTCACTGAGCAGCAACTTGGCGTCGCTGAACTGATTCAAAATGCTCCAAATGAGAAGCTTGGAAAAATTTTTAATTTTTTTTTTTTTTGGCTTGCTCTTGGGGCATTCACTAAGGACACTGATTCCCAATGGGATGTGATGAAATGCTTTAAAAGAATCCAAGCACCTGAGTTTCTAAAGTTCCTTTTTTTTTACGGTTCTTTGGACTTCAAGTCCTACTGAATTCCATCATTTTCTGCCACTTTTGACAGCATAAAGTCCATTTCTTTTAAACACTCTTCCTGCGCTTCAGAGTCATATTTATTGCTAAGGCTTCTCTCTATTGTCTTTCTTCTTTCAGTTCTCAGATTTTTTCTCCCTACCAAGATGTTCTGTGGGGGAATTCCAGGGTGATCATGTGCTGATCTGTCCAGACCGACCATTTCCCTTGTCCATGCTACGGTTCTTATCCGCGAGCTTTGTTGTTTGCTATGGTCCTGCTTTCCCTCTCCTGGCCGTTCCATCTTTTGCACAGGATGATGCTGAACTTCATTGTGCATAATAAGCTTTCAAAGTACCCAGATTTTCACAAACACATGCGCCCGGCGTTGGGAACAACAGACCTCGTTCGGTGGTCGGGTGGGAAGATTTTGCCTGCCTCGTCATCCCCCCGTCATTAATAACGCAAAAAACCGATTACGGAGAGCGGGCGTCACCAAGGAATGCCACGTCTGCACAAGTTCTCCCACTGTTAACACCTTCCAGTAGCTCAACACGCAGGAAGGCCTCTTAGAACCGAGTATTTTCAGCGGAGCAAAAGAGCCAAGGGCTGGAAACCCCTCCTTTGTCTCTGCAGGCTCATTAGGACCTGCAGGGCAGAAATTCCACAGCTGCAAAGGCAACGCTGGCACTACCCAAAGGGCCGGAGGGTTTTACCCTTAGTTTGGAAACTTACAGATACCCGGGATCGAATCCTCATTAAACACAATTCAGTTAGAACACTTCTCAGGAGGAAACATTACCCCAGCATTTCTCTACCGAACATTTTTTTCCAACCAGAAATAAGGAGGAGAGGATACATACAGCCACAATGAGGAAATCCAGCCAGCACCAGGCGTTGGTGAAGAACTTGACGAATCCGTAAGCGCACCATTTCAGCAACATCTCCAGGATGAAAATGTAAGTGAAGACCTTGTCCGCGTACTCCAGGATGGTCCGGATGGTTTTTCTCTGTTCTATGTAAATATCCTCAAAAGCCTGGGGAATAACCAGGTACTCGTGTCATTATGTTGGATTTATTCCATAGTTCAATGCCGTTACCCAGAAGCTTATTCAAATGATACCGAGACGAGCAGTGGAACTGCGTTTCTTACACAGTGCGCCGCATCTGCTCTAGTAGTTGCAACACCACAAAGCCAAACAATCAAACAAAAAAAACCCAAAAAAAGGGAAAGTTCTGAATAAACAAGACAAGAACCTCTCTGCCTTTTAGGGATCCCAGGTGGCCAAGAAGGCCAATGGCATCCTGGCCTGTATCAGGAATAGTGTGGCCAGCAGGAGTAGGGAAGTGATCGTGCCCCTGTACTCGGTGCTGGTGAGGCCGCACCTCAAATACTGTGTTCAGTTTTGGGCCCCTCACTACAAGAAAGATGTTGCGTTGCTGGAACATGTCCAGAGGAGAGCAACCAAGCTGGGGAGGGGTCTGGGACACAAGTCATATGAGGAGCGGCTGAGGGAACTGGGGGTGTTTAGTCTGGAGAAGAGGAGGCTGAGGGGAGACCTGATCGCCCTCTACAACTGCCTGATGGAGGCTGGAGGGAGGGGGGGGTCGGCCTCTGCTCCCTGGGAACAGATGATAGGACGAGGGGGAATGGTTTGTAGCTGCGCCAGGGCAGGTTTAGGCTAGACATTAGGAAAAACTTCTTCACCGAAAGGGTTGTCAGGCTCTGGAATGGGCTGCCCAGGGAGGGGGTAGAGTCCTCCTCCCTGGAGGGATTTAAAAGAAGGATGGATGAGGTGCTGAGGGCCAGGGTTTAGTGCTGGGATGGCAGGGTTAGGTTAAAGGTTGGACTCGATGATCTCAAAGATCTTTTCCAACCAAAGTGATTCTATGATTCTATGATCTGAGTACGAGCCTTTTTATGGAAACTTTCAGCAACGGGTATCACTACAGCAACACACACGGGCAGGTTTTCTCTGCAGCTCAGCACACCCAAAAGGACCGAGTTTGTCGGCAATCAGGCTGTTAATTCCTACGAAAGCTGCGCACGTAAAGAAAACCGGGCTACTGGCTGTGGGATACAAATTGTTGTGGACTTGTGTCCTCAAACTGGCGAGCAATGCGAGCTTGAAGCCGTTGGTTGGACAACCCTATCTACCAAACGCTCAGTGGGCTGTGTGAAAACAAACAGACACGGTGATTATTTGTGCCCGTGTAACACCACAAGGTCTGCAGGGAAAGTGAAGAAAGGCAAATATGAGCCCAGTAATGTGAAAATGAGATGAAGATACAGGTGGACTTTGTGAAAAATCTTCACGTTTCCAGTCAAGCTATGATCAGAACCCGGATTTGCGAGCTTTCGGTCTTCACTCTTAACTTAAACTAAACCAAAATCATTAAGAAAGGCTTTTGTGCAGCACTTACCACAACACAGCCGTGTCGTTTTCCAAGCAAGAATCCTCACAGCTTGCTTTTCCACCACGTTTCCTACCTACAGCTTTCCCAACTAAACATCCCCTAGCTTAACGCAACCGAGCTACGCGGATTGCTGTATTTTACTCACCAGAGCGCCACTGCTCAGCAGGATCATAAAGATGATGAAAGTCTCAAACCAGTTATGTTCCACAATCAGAAAACAAGTCTTCCTCAAGGTCCACCAAGACTTGCCCAGCCCTTCCTCAATATTGACCTGACAACATTTACAGCGCTGCATACAACCTGGAATGGGGAGAGCGCACAAAGGAGCGTGAGCCCAGATTTTGTTGGGTAACAGATGAGATAACGTACGAACATCAAACTGTTATTGTCTAGAAGCAGTTTTGGTGCCAGCAATATTAAACACGCTGCATTTCCATTAAAACTCTTGCCTTCTTGAGGGTTTTATGATTACTTTTGCCACTTCTGTATCTGGGCAGCTGAATTAACATCAGTTCGTGAACAGATTAAGCTCGTTCTATTTGGTGAGGTATCCAGGCACTTGACAGAAGAGGAATGGAAAACTTGCTGATAAAATAACCTTGAACCATTTAAAGTATCTATCTTTGCCATGGGAATACCTGTAATGGATCAGTTACCGAAAAGACATTGAGGCCAGCGACAGAAAGGAAAAAAACTCGACCAGAAGCCAGATTCTTCTGCTTCTAAGTACTCAAGGCATCAGTTGTACAGATGATCAACTCGCCCTACCTATAGGTCATCCAGACCCCTGCAATGACAACTACATCTCCAAGGCCTCCACCTTGCAAACGCTTCTAAACTAATTCACCTGTGGTGCAGGGTCCAAGCAAGGTCTCAAAATAAGCTGACAGCCAGCCCTGATCCAGACCAAGACCTAACTTTAAGGTAAGCTTACAGTAGACAGGTCCCTGAAACAGCTCGGAGGCTTCTTTCTACGCTCGTAGTCAGCTTACCTTCTGTGAAGCACGCATCTGGGTCCAGGTACTCCTCTGGTGCCTCCACAGGGACTTCTTCCACTTCAGGCTTTATATCAATGGTGCTACCTTCAGAGGAGCTGGTATCATCAAGTTTCTTGAACACAAAAATAAAACCCAATCCAATCTATAATCAGTTCCCTACAATACCAATTTTCATGCTGACTCAGCAATTTGTTCACCAGATTTACTGTAACAGGAGTTGTTTCCTCACTTCACCTCATTAAGATCCCAACCCAGCTTACAGCTCATGTTAACAAGACAGGATTAAGTATTTATATTATATATAAGGATTTACGGCTCTCCGTAGAGCAACTAGCACACAAAACTTTTGTCTTGAGTGCAAAGACGTCGTAACATAAAAGTTTTGTGCTGGAACGATCTAGTTCTCCCTCCCAAAATGCTTCCAGGCACTCACACGAGGGTCAAAGGACTAGAATGATGTTTTAGCATTTCATCCTACCTCTTTGCTGCCATCGGGATCTGTATCACTGCTGAAATCTTCTGTGTTGAGATTTTCAAAATCTGATTCACCTACAGCAATAGGTACCCGGACAGTGAGGTTGGGGTTGTTGATGAAGGACATGTGATCTTCGTCTATTATGTACTTCTCCACGCTGCTCCCAATTCCACTCGTCGTGCCGTTGCCATTCTTCTGATAATCAATGTCTCTGTTGATATCGGCCCCTGTATGGTTAGCGATGCAGTTCACCTTCTTGTCATACAATTCATCCAAGGGTTTGACCTCATCTGCCTCTCTCTGCTTGAAATGAGCCTGCATGAACTCACGCACTTTTGCCTTGGTCCAGGCAATGCCCTTCTTGATGCGAATAACAGAAATCTGCAGGTTGTTCATCTCCCCGTCATCATCTGTGGCTGCTAAGTTGTCCGCGCTGAAGGAGCTCAGTAGCAAGGCCAAGAAGAGGTTCAGCACCTGAAGGAGAAGAGGTCACGCTTGGCAGAGCTGACGCCCAAGGGCTGTATTTCCAAAGCTGAATAGGAGTGTTCAGCCACCCGAGTCCTGCTGATGCTAACAGGGGTGCGGAGCTACGTCTCCTAACACCGCGCTGAGACCACCAGCTCTGGTGCCCCGCAGACCTATTTAGGACTCAAGGAACAAGATGCTGACCCTGCAACGTGTTCCATGAACGGGGGAGCCCTGTGCAACGCAACTCCGCTGCTGTCAGTGGGGTTTGGTGCAGGTAGAAGGGTCCCCGAGTCCCTGACATAGAGCCCCTTGCAGGATCCAGACTGCGGGTGTTAGAGAGAGGGATTTAAGCAGCAGCCATCCAAGGGACTGAAATTCAGGGTTACTGGTTTAGTCCCATCTCTGGCTCAAAGGGAATGGGCCGAATCGAGGCATTTTGAGCGATCGCTCCCAGCTCTGTTTCCTTGCCCACATCTAACGTTAGTCCCCAAGACTTATTTTGTCAAAATCCCTTGGGGCGAGCCAAGCCGTCTCAGAGAGAGCTCCCAACACCACTTTTAAGATAAGCAACTGTTTACACTACTTCATTCTGGCTTACATTTTCCTCTATAGACTTTTCTTCGGAAAACTGAAGACCAGAAGGAAGCATCATGATCCAGTCTAACCTCCCACACAACAGGCCGTGCAATTTCACCAGCCGACTCTTGCACACAACTATACCTCATGATTGAGCTAGTGGGCAGATTTTAGAAGAAACTTCCAACCTGATTTTAACACTTCAGGACCTTCCCCTGCGTACCAAATTACTTCCTCTCCTGGCATTTGAAAAGCCAGATTTTTTGCTTCTTTTAAGCTTCTTCTACCTCCTCAGGCAAGGCGTGGGTCTGTCCCCTTTGACTGAGGGTTTTGTGCCTCCAGCTTTTATTGCAAAGTGCTTGGATGCTTTATTCAGTGGGCAACTGTTTACGGCCCTAAATCCAGCCAAGCACATCCTTAATATCGTGCTACCAAAGCCAACAGGACTGTTCATATGTCAAAGGCCACAAGGGACCCCAACAGAGCCGGAGCAGACTCACAAATCATTACTCCCTAGTCCTGTGGTCTCCCCATATTCTACCCCACCCAGAGGCAACCAATAAAGACCATCAGTAACCATTTACTGACCACTAAATTTCCGATGACCATGACCATCATGAAGACAATCAAGCACATGGCCTGTCCTGCTACTTCCATACAATCCCACATGGTCTCAATCCATTCCCCACACAACACACGGAAGACAATAAGGAAGGAGTGGAAGAAATCGTGCATGTGCCAGCGGGGTAGCTCACACTCCGGATTGATCTTGCAGACACACTCCTTGTAGCTTTTGCCGAAGAGCTGCATGCCCACCACAGCAAAGATGAACACGATGATGGCTAGCACCAAGGTCAAGTTCCCCAAAGCACCCACTGAGTTACCGATGATTTTTATCAGCATGTTCAGAGTGGGCCAGGACTTGGCCAGTTTGAAGACTCTCAACTACAAAAAAAAAAAAAAACCAAAACACAAACCAGAAAAACTTAATTTCATCTTAAACAAAGAGGAAAACCAGGTAGAACTTTCTAAACATCAACCATCTTGTATCTGACATAAATATAAACCCATGCTTCTGCTGCTGAAGTCAGTGGGAGTAGGGAACGCTTAATGTCTCTTTGAATTTGGCCTCCTGTATTTTGTACTTAGTTATCCCCCACATGGTGATCTCTCTTTACAAAGGAAAAGTAATGGAGCTTCTATCCTGCTTTGCAAATTTTGCAGCATTAAGGAAGCCAAGAGACTTATTGAAATGTGCGTGTCACAAAAATTCACTTTTTTTTTCCCTGAATGCTTCTCATCTTCCTCGGGAAAGAAGGACTTTTCCTGACATACCCAGAACACACTATCAAAGTTTAATTTCCAGAGAATTTCATTTCCAGACAGACTTTCTGAAGCTGGATATAAGCAGGAACTTCTCAGCACTGTGCCCCTTGGAAAATCCAACCTCAGCTGTGGTCCTCTGCGCGCAAAAATCCAACCTTGAGGTTTTCGTAATTTAATTTTCAAAAGCGTAACCACTGACAGCGCAAGTTAAAGCACCCGATGCTGTAGGTATTCAGCACTTTTATTATACTGTAACATACCACCTACCAAATCTGACCCCACGGAAGAGGCACATTCTGACATGCTCCATCTCCATCCATATTAAGCACTGTACACCAAGATACCTCCCAAGTCATCCCTCACTGCCTACACGCAAGGAGCTGTTGCTCCAATCTCATCAACAGCAGTTGGGAAGTAAGAAGAGGCCACAGAAACGACACCGTTCCACCTCTGTCCTTCCCAAAACCAAAAAAAAAAGTGCGTTTTGCCTTCACTTATGTAAAAAGCTTTCTAGTAGCTCCAAGACAGTAACATTCAAAAGGAAATGGAATATGGAATACCAATCGGAAAGATCGCAGCACAGAAAGTCCTTCCACATCTGCTAGACTCAGTTCCATTAAACTGAGGGAGACAATAAATCCATCAAAGATGTTCCAGCCCTCTTGAAAATAATAGTAGGGATCCATGGCAATGAGCTTCAGGAACATTTCCGCTGTGAAAATTCCAGTGAAAACCTGGAGTGGTAAGGAGAGAGACAAAGAACAGGCAAAGTGTCGCGTTTGTTCTTTCCCCGATCTTCAGGCTAAATATCAAAGAGGGCGAGCTGTCACGCCAATTCAAACACGCAGCCTGTCCAACGCCACGTGCTTCTCTGCAATGGTCTTTGCTGCCCCGATGCCGCGTAAGCATCACTGACCCACTCAGGCATACCAGGGATTAGCAGATGGATTTTTAAGCAGTAACAAATTCTGACCAGGCATGTGCACCCTTAGCAAACATCTCTGAGCGGCCACAGACTGCAGCGAGGGCAAGCTCACGCCGCTCAGCGTCCTCTAGAGTCTGGAATAACAGTTCTTTCGGCCTAAGTCCACCTTAACAAGCCATGTATCCCAGTAGGAGCGGATCCGTAAGGAATATTTACCAATACCATCTTACCAGATTGCCTACGGAGAGCACATGTTCAAACTCCGGGGTCATGGGATGGTGCTCCATTGCCATGAACAAAGTGTTCAGCACAATACAGATGGTGATGGCCAAGTCAACAAAAGGATCCATGACAATTAAGTTCACGATCTCCTTCAGCTTGATCCAGTACGGGTGGCATTCCCAGATCAAGAACGTGTTGGCAAATTTGTACCAGCAAGGGGGACACTTCCTCTGGGACTCTTCCAGCTCTACAGTTACAAAATAAAACAGCAACAGAGTTCAGTCTTCACCTCTAAGGCTCCTGGATCGCTCTGATGCTCAGCACAGCTAAAATACCGCCCCATTTTGCCTGTCCTGAACCTCACTTACGTCTCCCTGCTTGCACAACAACTCAATATTCTTGGACCGAAGACGTGTTTTGCCGTATGTACATACAACACTCAGAACAAAGGAACTCCAGGATGCTCGGCAGTAGCCGAAGACAAAGAGTTTCTAAGCCACGAACCTTATGACAGTGGCCAATCGTGCAGATGGCCACGACAGAAGAGTCAAGTCTTTTGTACTGAGCTTCACCAACTTCTCCTTTGCACCCACGCCAAGAGCTGCATCACATCTGCACGGGGTTCCCGGGAAGCGTGGTTCTAAACCTGTGCAACCGCCCCGCGTGGATCTTACAACTCGATCCAAATGATGTCAAATGGAGGGATACATTTGACTCGGAACCGATCAAGGTAAATTGGTTTAAAGCGAAGTTACAGATTCTAAACTGTCTGTGGTGCCAGTTTTTAAATAACTTAAATGAATTCTGTGCTGAACGCAGCCACGGTCTAAAAGAGGAAACGCATGACATAATGCTGCGAAGGATTTTAAACAGGAATAACCTGATTAAGACAAACCACGGCCATTTACAGGAAGCAAACACGATGCTGCGCCCGTCCTTTTAAACTGGCTTGTTTCAAGGGCTTAGGGGAAAAAAAAGGAAAAATCGGGAGTTCCCCCGCTCTGTTCTTGGACTCGCAATGGTCCTCTTCAGGCTGTGCAGCTGTTCGTGCTGAAGTTTTGGGTTTTATGGGTAGGTAAAGGACCACTGCGCTCTCGTTCTCATTGGTTCTCCGGTTGCTTAGTATTTAGTTGCCTTGGAATTTCTAAAGTTAAAAAAGAGGACCGTAGCACTGTAGCCTGTAGGCGTTTGCGCAGGAGGGAAGCAGCAGCAGAGCCTTGCTCTGTTTCTAAGTATATTTGGTTTTCATACAATTTTATTGCAGGAGACAGCAGGAGACAGCAGAAATTTGAGATCATCCACCTCATATGGCTGCTGTTCATAAATTCTTGCTGGCTCCTGCATAACGTATTTGGAAATCTCATCTCCGTGTGCTGTCCATTTCAGAATTTCCGTCATGCACAAGTCCCTTTCCCTTTTGGCAGCTGCCGCATCTCAGCTCTTAGTGTAGCTCCAATCTTTTTCTCCCGCGGACCGTAAGCAAAGGAGGGTCTCTCCATCCTTGGGAGATGGCAGCAGACAGAACACCCGTATCAGACATTGTCTTACTCCGTCACCTCCACGCTGCATATCCGTTACTGTAGAAGTACAACTCTTCGTTGTCTTTGCCTCTGTATCTATCTAATTCAGACGCAAACCCAAGTAAAATAAAGTCTAACAAATACTTCTGTATCAATAATGACTCAAAAGAAGCAGGTTTAGGCCAAACCAATGCATGAGCATGTGCTACTCGAATAGCTAAATTCTGTATATCTGAAGGGCATGCATGTCCTCTGTCAGGTACCCAAGGCTCAAAACTGATCTCTGCTGCACAGCACTTGCCCGAACAGACGGGGCCTGAGCTGTACCTCCCACCCTCCGCCCCTCGCCCAGCTCCCTTACAGACCAGCTATGGCTCTAATCCCCTAAGCCACTACGAAGCCACCTCGTCATTACCATTCGGCATCCTCTTGGGACAAATGGAGCGGACGCGTGTGCCCGTACCCGCATTTTGTGACCGGCCGTGCAGAGGGACAGTCATCAGGGCTCCAACACAGGGAACCCAGGGCAGATGTGGTGTGAGGAACTGTCCTACAACTGCCAGGTGGATGGGTCCTCTGTCTTCCTACAACGCACCACGAGAGGGCAATCGATACGTACATCCCGGAAAAACCCAAAGGCACACCTTCCAGCCATACCTACCCTCAACAAGCGTATTTGTCAACCCCGTCATTACGCTGTTGGTTCGATCCTTTCTTCCATAGGATGCGTTCACCTGATCCATCGAGACCAAGAGAGACCCACCAGGTTTCTTTCTAATTTCGATTTCAGTGGTACCCTGCAAAATTCATATGCTGATTAATAGAAACTCTTAACCTTCCCAGTATTTTACATGCTATCAGCCTAGAAATATGGCACATATGCCCAAGAAAGAAACCCATCCTTGTTCCTGCCCATCCTTCCCGCTTCCCTGTATTATCTAAGTGGCCAAACCAAAACTCAAGCCCTCATTTCTGCTAGCACCAGCGCTTCGCAGCCTTAGACAAATGAAGGACTGCATTTTGAAGAACATTTCTAATGAAGACTGCTTCTAATGAAGACAACGGAGTTTATACTCTGTACTACTGCCAAACAGCACAGACAGGCAGCGACTCTTTTAACCGGTCCCCTTTACAACGCAGCCGGTCAGAGCATGAACGCCACCCCAGCCTCACATGAGCCACCCAAATGAATACGGTTCAGGAACCGAGCACTTGGCAGCATCAACATTTATTTCAAAATCTGCATCTGAAAATTTGGATAAAAGAAGCTCGGCCACATCACTGTCTGAGAACTAAGAGAACTAATGGGGATTTCTCCCACTTTAGCCCACTACGAAGCTGATTTTCCAACACAACACGAAACCATGTCTCGATTTCACCCTTGGGAAGGATCGCCTTGCTCCCCTCAGGTCAAAGAGCTTCTGCTGCCAAAGGCACCTCACAGTTTCCCTCCTAGGGTTGCTCTGGAAATCACAGAATGGCAAGGGTTGGAAGGGACCTCAGGAGACCATCTACTCCAACCCTCCTGCTAAAGCAGGTTCACCATGTTACACAGGACAGCGTCCAGGCGGGGGTTGAATATCTCCAGAGAAGGAGACTCCACAGCCCCCCGGGGCAGCCTGGGCCGGGGCTCGGGCACCCTCCAAGTCAACAAGTTTTTCCTCATATTCAACTGAAACCTCTTCTGCTTCAGTTTGTACCCATTGCCCCTTGTCCTGGCGCTGGGCACCACTGGGAAGAGTCTGGCTCTGTCCTCGTGACCTCCACCCTTGAGATATTTGTAGGTGGTGATGAGGTCCCCTCTCAGTCTCCTCTGCTTACACACAGACAACCTCGTGTACTAACAGGTAACGGGGTTTTTTTTTCCCCTCATTACAGGAATTTGCCGCTGTCCGCTTGTGAACCAAGGTCTCTGCACGGCCCGTGCAGCTCTCCCACCGTGACAGTGAATTGCTTGCTGCATGGCGAACTCTCTACGTGCAGAGTTAGCAAGACAACTGCTAAGGAGCACTTTTCTTTTACGCATGCGTCATGCAATTACTGTTCCTACCACATCCATGCTGTGTTAGAAGGAGAATTAAATACTGAAGCAAAACGTTGCATTAACATGCTAACTAGGGAAGAAAAAAACCAGGTGGCAACTGATGCTTAACGTAACTAATTAAAGGCAAACAGGTTGCAAGAATTGAAAAAACTAAAAAAAAAAATAAAAAAATAGCTTGGAATGTATAGGCACGGTAACCAGGCTTCTCTCAGAAATGATTGATTTGGGTATCTCTCAAATGATGTTGTTTCCATCTCGTCCAGATTCTTTTACGCCCTGCTAATATTCTATTTTTTGAGCTTTGTTTCTCTCTTGCATTCTGAAATGTTGATCCACTAAAGAGGTCACTCAATACCAATTCAATCATCTGGTTACAAAGTCACAGTCAAGGAAAATTCAAAAATTAAAAAAAATTATCATTAAAAACCCTTAAATGCTTTTTTTACTAACAGCTTCCCCCGCAAAGCTTAGCGAGGACTGTTTGCATTTCCCGGGAAATCCCCAATTATTTTATCTTATTGCGGAGAACATTTGCAACAAACTTGGGTTGGTTTCCCCATTCCTGTGCTTTAAACAGCTCCCTGTGAATTGTCCTGACATACCCCAAGGGTTCCCACTATTACTAGTCCTTTAGTTAAGGACTCAATTCCAAGCCTTTTTTTTCCCAGGAAGCCAGGGGGAAGAGGAGGAGGGTCATTGAGTTTGAGAAGGAAAGGAAGGGGAGGTTAAAGCACAGGGTGTTTAATCCAGTACAGACTTCATCGCCTGCGGTCAGACAGACGGGCTCTCATTCCGCCAGGGTGCCTGGTTGATTCGGAGGGCGGCATACAGGAGAGGAGAAGAGGGCAGACCGCCATGCCTACGCTATCTACTCATTGACTTCCTTACGCTGTCGCCGGTAGCTGCCTTATCTATTTTCACCTCAGGCAGAAGGCGTCCCCCAGGCATGCTGGAAGGTGGGCCACCGATGAGGGACACCACGCCGTTACAATCCACCGTGCTGTTCCTCTTCACGTTTCGGCGGAGGTTGGGGAAAATCCGCGAGGACCGGCTGAAGTCCTGTAGCCGCTGTAGCTGCTCCTTCGATCGCGACCACGGATGGGGATGAAGAGGGAGTCTCTCCGGCCTTCGCTTTCCTCCACTGTGCTGTGCTCGTCATCGGCAAACTCGTTCTCTGAACCTGGGTCACGAAATCGCCCCTTGTAGCTGAAGATGCTGCTCTTGCTATTGTGTCGGGAGAGAAAAGGGGAGCCTGGGATACTGAGGAGAGACTGGGAGGGAGAAAAGAAAGAAGGACAACAGCGTGAATAGCGTGGAAACAAAGCACCGCAGTGCCGTCAAGTGCTGCTAAAGTGGTTTCACTCCCTCTCCAGGTCTACACAAACCATCAGCACTTGGTTGTCGGCTGTATTTTAAGAGTTGTTCATTCTTGGCTGGCTGAGCTACATCTGCTTAGATTCACTACTCTCCAGAATGATTTATGCCAGGGTAAGTTCACAGCAAGGGCTCTAAACTTGGACCATAAGTGTCCTCCTGATCCGCTGCAAGTTTAAGACGGTGGGCAGATTCCTTTGACATCCTAATCAGGATCTAAACTAGAATATTACCCTGACTACAAGCAAGCACAAACATTAGTGAAGGAAATGAAAACTACCTGGTTCATGATGGAAAATTTCCTTCCTAGCCTGTTATCTGGCAGCCTGAACGCTTTCCTCCTCATGCCATCCTCAGATTCAGACTTGAACACCTTTTCATTGTCACACTTCTCCTCTCCTTCTGACAGTTCCTTGTCCTTTCGTTTTTTCCTCCTGTTTCGACGCTCCTTGGCGCTCTTGGAACTGAGCTTGGAAATCTCTGAAGAGCTCCGAGACATCCTCCCCCCACCATCATCTTCCACAGCATCTTCAGAGACCGTCCCTGCCGAAGTGACCATAGCAGCAGCCTGAGGGTGTAGGCAAGAGAAGGGAGAAATAAATCAGATCTTACCATGACTAGATGACCTCTAGGGGTCCCTTCCAACCCAAAACATTCTATGATTCTATGATTCTATGATTAACACTCCATTTTCTGCTTTAAGAAAGAGCGTGGCTTAAGGCATGCAAGTACAAGTGTTCGGGGCGGGATTGAGATGCTTATTCTTTCTCTTGGAAGAGGCTCGCAGCCTGTAAAAATGTTTATAGTCTACTTTTGCAGGTCGTAAAATCTCTCTCGGTCCCTCAGCTTTATTTACAAGCATTTAATAAAGGACCGACAAAGATGTACTCGTCTGTCTTGCAAAGATATTCCCACACTTAACTAGGAACTCTGGGAACATTTAAAATTTCCTTACTAGAAGGGAGTTTTCCAGTACAAAATAAACACAGCAAGCTTGCACAGAATTCAGGAAAAAAACAGCAGCAGGGAAGAGAGAGCGCGCAACGTCAACCCAGTCAACAGAGGACATGATGCCAGGGCAAGCCAGCCACGGCCCTGCTGCATTTTTTGATTACACATCACTGCTCTGTAATAACAGGCAAATAAATCTTAAAATATGTAAATGCACCCAAAACCATACAACCAAAACACTCACCTGTGCTTCTTCCTGCTGCTTTTTCAGTTGTTCTAACATGGCCTTAAATTCTGCCTCCTTCTGCTCCGCCTCCTCCAGCGTGGCCTGGTTCTGCTCTTCATAAGCCATAGCCACCACAGCCAAAATTAGATTAACCAGATAGAATGAGCCCACAAAGATCACCAGGACAAAGAAGATCATGTAGGTTTTTCCTGCTGCTCGTAAGGTCTGGAAGGGGAAAAGAACGGAAGAGACAAGGAAAGGGGAAAGCGATTTCAGCGTGATATCCGATACGCGAAGCGATCCCAAGTTTCTTGACCTGAACGCTTCTAAGAAAAATAGACGGGTGCTGAATATTTAACATCTCAGCACTTCCACTGCAAAGCACTAAGACACTGCACATTCGTCAGCCATCCCCACAAAAGGTGACATCCCTCTTCTCCTCTTAAGGGAACATCCAACGGACGCAAACGGAAAACGCTTCAGAAGCACGGTGTGAAACTCAATGCTTAGGCTCCCTTAAGACAAAACAAAAGAGAAGAAAAGCCATTTCAGCAAGGTCCCCACACCGTCCTCAGGTTACAGGGAAGCCCTCTGCCCTCCAAAAGCGCCCGAGCACCTTCTGTGAGCAGAGCTGAATTGCTCCCAGGCTCTTCCAGAATGAATTCCCAGTTCAGCTGTATGCACGCTGAGGACCTACGATCCCTTCTGGACTTAAAAGTACAACACCCGCTTAGAGGCAATGTCCCCTTCCTCCTCAACACATCTCATCGTGCAGCTTCACTTGGAGTTACTCTTTCAGACAGGAGGAATAAAAATAAAGCTTGTCACGTTTCCCTTTCCTGTATCATCCCCAAATTCTCATCTTGTCTGACACGGAAGCAAAGTGTTTACTTACTAATTGATACAAGTTTTCCCAAAAGTCCTGAGTCATAAGGCGAAATAAAGCCAGGAAAGCCCAGCTGAAAGTGTCGAAGCTCGTGTAACCGTAGTTGGGGTTCCGTCCTGCTTTCATGCACGTGTAACCCTCCGGGCATTGCCTGTGAAGAAGACAACAGCCATTTCAGGGCACCAAGGCAGTAAAAGGGGTCGAGCAAGTTGACAACATGCCCATCACCCCTGCTTACGCAGGGTCTCACAACTCCCGTAACGAACGGCACGCATTTTGCTTTCAGCGTTGAGTAAGGATAGCAGACAAGGAGGCTGACAGGACGTCAGGAAAGCCCCGTTATCTTTGTCCTATGGAAAGAAGATGCAGCAACGTGAGGCTTTTAACCCAACGTGAGGCTTTTAACCCAACGTGAGGCTTTTAACCCAGCGTGAGCCAAAAGGGCCAGCTTTTGCCACGAGCGTCCTTAGAGCTGAAGGACCGGGTGAAGAACCAACTGGGGGCAACAGCACATGGGAAGTTGCCGTTTCTGAACCTCCATCCCCTGTTTCTCTGATGATTGGATTCCGAGGGAAATAATGGCACTAGTAATCATCGTTAGATGAACATGCCTCCTGAGACGGCAGGAGAAACGTCAGCTCACATAGCAGTCAGACAGATAGCAGCAATGGATTAATAATTAGATTAAGCAACATGAAACCTTTTACATGTGAAATAACACCAGAACCAGCAAAGGAAGCAACAGGAAATATTCCAAAGGTTTTGCCATCATTAACCTCCATCAGTGGTAATTAGAGTCTCCACTTTTAATAAAGCTCAACACTCACCCTGCGTCTGAGCTGTTACCACAGAGCAAAGGATCAGGGGCGCCAGGAATTATGTAAAAATTTGCTGAAGAAGATGAAAAAGAAAAGATTACAGGCACAGGCATACGGAGTTGGAGGATTTAAAACACTATAGCACTATAAAAACCTTCACTTAAGAGCCTTCTAGATCCCCTACCGATAAATTTATCAGCAAACCAACTCAGCTTTACGTAACATCAGCCCCACTAATGGGGCCTGGGTTTAAACACCTTTCTGGAAGCCAGTATAGCGTTTTGAATACGGATTCAAAACCGGCTGACTGCCCAGCAGAGGAGTTCAGAGTGAGAAGGGAAGAAGAAATCAAGTTACAAAAACTCAGAGGCTGGTTCCTCGATCATCCGCAGCATCATTTACAGCTCGGAAATCCCGCCGGCGCGGAAGGACGCTGCAAGGCAGAAATAGGTACCGACACACCTTCACGCGCGTTATTCTCTGAAGAACTCGGCAAAACTAAGTGAAGGACCAGGGATTTAAACGGGCAGAGTTACCTCCCATTTACCACATTGAAAGACTTTCTCATTGGAAACAAACCAGAAAAAAAATATGCATTTTTGACAAAATAGGGAGCACGGCCAAGACCTCCTAAAGGATGAACCCAACTAGAAACACCTTAAAAAGGCCAGGTTTCGAAAAACTGAAAAATATCTGAGCAAGGGGTTTTTACTGCGCAAAGCGGGACCCACCGCATTCCAAGCCACGCCAGAAATCCCACGGTTTTAGGGAGTATCGCTGCAGAAATACCTACACATATTGTTGGTGTATTCCTCCCAGTCAAAGCCCCTGGAGCCGTTATCCAGGAAAGTCTCGTTCACATTAATTGGCCATATCACGCACTTGTTCCTTAAATTGCCCATAAACAGCTGCAACCCGATCAGAGCAAAGACACTGAGGCAAAACACTGTCAAGATCATTACATCCGACAGCTTCTTCACAGACTGAATTAGGGCACCCACAATGGTCTTCAAGCCTGCAGGGAAGAAAACAAGACTAGAAATCACTGCTGTAGAATGAAAATACATTGAAAATTCAAATACACACAGCACCTTACAGCCGCTGTACGGCGGCAGAAGATGGTTGCTATAAAACAGCCGGGTTCCTGGGAACCGCCCGTCGTATTCAGGTTTTTCCGTGTGGTACAGTAAAGGTGATGAATGAACCGAGCTCACCGGTTCCAGCGGCGAACCAGCCCGTCGTTCGACCAAAACGAAATACCAGCGTTCATCCCTGGGAACACCTGAGCCTGGCAGCAGAGGATGCAAAGCCTACTCGGGAGCCATTGCCATGAAGGCAGGGCTTGTCTAAACAGAGACGTTAAATTAAGACACGCTGCTACAAACCTCTCCGTGGACACCTTTAGTTGTGTTTAAGCCTGGCTTATTGGCACAAACTATAACTTACAAAGATCCAATACCTTTTGAACTCTCTACATCTTAAGTTTCTACTGCTCAACTAAACTGTTCTTTTTAGTAGGGCCAGCTGCGTTAGGACAAGGGGAAATGGTTTTAAACTAGAACAGGGTAGGTTCAGGCTAGAGGTATGGAAGAAATTTTTTACAATGAGGGTGGTAAAACACTGGAACAGGTTGCCCAGAGAGGTAGTGGAGGCCCCATCCCTGGAAACATTCAAGGCCAGGTTGGATGGGGCTCTGAGCAACCTGATCTAGTTAGCAGTGTCCCTGCTCACTGCAGGGGGGTTGGACTAGATGACCACTAGTGGTCCCTTCCAACCCTAAACATTCTATGATTCTATGTTCTCCTCTCCTTGCGGGAGCTGGATCTTTCATGTAGATCCCGGGTTTTGTTACGGGGAGGGCAGGATTTCATCCAGAATTCTGGCTCTTCAGGTTTTACCAAGGCCATCAGGATCATTAACGGGCAAGGCTCAATAATAAAAGTAAGCTCGGGCATAAGCCAGGCATCCTGCTGCTTTTCCAAACCAGTCTGGTCTGTAGGAGGAACCATCGATGACCCAGAGGAAGAAGGCAGCACTGATGCTTTCAGGAGACAGACCTGAACAAGCAAGAATTTGGGAGGCAGGAACAATACAGCATTAGGGCCCCTTAAGGAGCCTTTCTGATATGAAGTAGGATGATCTTGCATTTATAAATGAGTAGTTTAGGAGGCTGAAGGAGTGGGGGGGGATCACAGATCCAGCTGAATTCAGGGCCAGTCAGGTCCAAGTCTCTGGCTGAAGGCACGCAAGCATCCTGTAATAAACCTTTGACAAGAAACCCCTCTATACCAACAGCGGTTTGATGCATATCAAGAACATACAGATTCAAAAATACATAAATAATAAGAATTCTTATGGAGGAATAATTTTTTTTAAATGTCTTTTACTTCAGTCTTCAAAACTTTGAAGCAACACCGAAGGCCTACTCCAAGACAAAGCGGTTTTGGGCTGTTCGGGCAGACCATAACCATTACAACGCCCGTTTGCATGCTCCTCTCCCCTGCTCACATACGCACATGCAGCCATCGCGCTTCTGCTTTGTGTGTTGCTCTCTCGTAGGCGTGTAAGGAGAAGGAGGTTTTGAACCAAGATGATGAACTGGCAGCAAGAGCGTTCCCAGTCCGGGCACAGGGCAAATCCAACTCCAACAACTTTCAGCTCAAGCAATCGCCTTCGTGTATGCGGATCCAGGTTACCCCGGGTCCTATTTTAAAGCTGGCCATGAGCTGGCAGTGTGCGCGGGTGGCCCAGAAGCCAACCCTACCCTGGGCTGCATCGGGAGAAGTGTGGCCAGCGTCGAGGGAGGGGATTCTGCCCCTCTGCTCTGCTCTGGGGAGACCTCACCTGGAGCCCTGCGTCCAGCTCGGGAGCCCTCAGCACAAGGAGGACA